CAATAATTTTAACTGTATCAATATTTTACTTCCTTTGTGAGATTGATTCCTAAGTAATTCATTTTGGGGGGATGTTATTGTGAAAGGTGTAGTTTCCATAATTTCTCTCTCAGTGTTCATCTTTATGTACAAAAATGCTCCTGATTTTGGGGTTGACTTTGTATCCTGCTGCACTGCTGAATTTGGTGATTAAACTTACCAGACTCTTGGTGGAGTTTTTGGGGTCCTTTGTGTAGAGTATCATCTCATCTGCAAATAATAATTTCACTTCTTTTCCAATCCTTATTCTTTTTATTTCTCTCTTTTCTAATTGCTCTGGCTAATGTTTCCAGAACTATATTGAGTAGGAGTGGAAAAGTGGACATCCTTGTCTTGTTCCTGATTTTAAAGTGAAGACCTTCAGTTTTTGCCCATTTAGTCTGATGCTGGCTGCTGGTTTCTCATCGATGGCTTTCATCAAGTTGGGATATACATCATCTACTCCAATTCACTGTAGGGTTTTTATTATGAGTGAATGTTGCACTTTGTCAAAAGCTTTTTCTGCATCTATTGAAATGATCATGTGGTTTTTGTTCTGGGCTCTGTTGATGTGGTGTATCACATTTGTGTATGTTGGACCATTTCTGCATTCCAGAGATGAGTCCCACTTGGTTGTGATGTATAATCTTCTTGATGGTTTGCTCTATTCTGTTTGTTAGTATTTTATTGAGGATTTTTGCATCTATACTTATTAGAGAAACTGGCCTCTACTCTTTTTAGTTGGATCTTTCTCTGGTTTTGGAGTCAGAGTAAATTTGCCTCCAGGAATGAGTTCAGGACAATTACTTCCTTTCCAATTTCATTGAAGAGTTTGAGAAAAGTTGACACTAAATCCTCTCCACATTTCTTGTAGAATTATGCTGTGAATTCCTCAGTACCTGGGCTTTTCTTTGTTCATAGGTTATTTTTATTACTTTTTCAATTTCTTTTCTGTTACTGGGTTATTCAGAGTTTGTGTCTTCCTGACTTAGGTTTGGTATTTCATATGAAACTAAGAAAATGTCATATACTTTGTACTATCCATCCATGAGAGTAAAGATTTTGGAAGTTGTTATTGGTGATCTTTCTGAATATCGATCTCCCCCTTTTCTTTCCTTATTGCATAAATTTATGTTTTTTCTTTCCTTTTTTAATGAGGTTGGCTAGGAGTTTATCTAATTTATTTATTGTTGCAAAGAATCAACTCTTTGATTCATTTATTCTTTGTATTGTTTTCTTTGTCTCAATTGCATTAATTTCTTCTCTAATCTTTATAATTTCCTGCCTTCTTTGGATTTTGGGCTTGACTTGTTCTTCTTTTTCTAGGCGCTTGGTGTTCAGCTTAAGATCATTTATTTGGGACTGTTCTGTACAGGGTCTCACTATGCAACGGCTAGGTCTTGCAATGATCCTCCTGTTTTAGCCACCCCAGTGCTGGGATTACAGGCATGCGCTACCATGCCCAGACTTACTTGCTGGCTCAGCGAGCCTCAAGGCTGGGGCAGGCATGACATGCGGGACCAAGAACTGAGTGCTGGGCCCTACGCTTTCCAAAGCAGGTGCTTACTCTGGTGAGCTATCTCACCAGCCCTCCTATTCCATGCTTTAGTATTATTGCTGGCTCGTGTTCATGCCGTATAATGTACATTTTATTTAGGTTATTGGGTTGTTGAACATGGCACACTAATTTTCCTCACTTCCCTTTGGCTCTCCCAATTCCTTCACTGTCAGAGAGATTTACACCTTTCTTTCCTGCTCTTCATCCTTTATTATAAACTTAACTAATACGTTGCTTTACTCAAATGAGAGATACCATAGCATTTTTCAGCTTCTGTATTGGATTTATTTCCCTGAAATTATATTTTTCAGGTGCATGCAGTTTCCTAATGTCTTAAATTTACTCTTCTTTGGTTGCGCATTGGTTCCTGCACCATTTCCCAGCCCAGTGAGAAAGCCGGGGACCTGCCAGAAACTGCCCTGCTGTCTGGCTGCACACCCGGGGCCATGCTCTGTGCCCCGCCCAGAGAGGAAGGCTGTGACCTGCTGGAGTCCCACCTGCCCCTTAACACGCACCAAGGCCTGCCCTGCCCCAGCCCAGGAGGCAGCCAGGACCCACAGGAAAACGTTCAGTTTGCCTACAGGTGACGCATTTTCTGCACACATTCATCCACGGATGTGTGCTAAGACTGATCCTGTAACTTGACAGTTATGAACTCCACCTGCTATTTGTATAAATACATTTTGTTGTGTTTTGTTTTGTGTTTCATTTAGTTTTCTTGGATCTTGCTAAGTATGGAATTGCCAAGTATAATGAGAAATAGTTAACTGTCTAGGTAAGAAGTCGTTGTTCTCCAAAGAATATTTAATGCTGTACACTCTCATTAGAAAACACATCATGGTATAGAAAAACCTGCTCTACACAAAATATTTACAATAGTGATCATAGTATTAGACACAATTTATGTCAATGTCATACTTACTTCTATAGTTTCCATATTTTACCTTAGAGAGTGATTTGGTGAAAGAAATGACTTTGGAATACATTTTGCTAACAATTTCAAACTATCTTAAATAATTCTCTGATGCTTAGGGTTCTTTATGGCCACGATTGTAGCAGTGTATTTAATCAACAATGAATAATGCAAGGGCCTGAGTTCAATACCCGGTTCCGCAAAAAATAAATAAATAAATAAAATGGAAAAAAAAAAAACAATGAATGAAGAAATACCAAAAGTTTTTATTAAAATAATACATGCTGTGTTACAGCATTTTATCAAGTTGGACTCTTATTGTTATATATATTTTTTCCAAAAGCTATTTGGGAAATATATTTCCCTTATAAAATTATGTATCAGAATATTTATTTACAAAAATGAGTAACACTTTGTCAAAAGAATGCAATGGGGAAAGAGGCTTTAGAGGCAGAGCGAGGGAGGCGGGTGGCAAGTGCTCCCAAGTGCTGGGATTACAGGCGTGTGCTGCCACGGCAGGCTTAGAGCAATTTAGAACAAGAGTAAAATGTCTGCTATTATTTGATGTACTTTAATGATTTGGCTGCAGTGTGGCTATTACCCTGACGCTAGAACTATCGAGGCACGTAGCGAACGACTGCTTACCAGAGCTGCAGTGCAGTGTGAGTCGATGGAGGCACCCGTTTGTGGAACGAGCCATTCTGAATCTACACTTGGCATCCACATCAACACAAGGCGCAATAATTACTTTACATTAAGTTACATTTCAAAAAGTATGTTCTTATAATGGGATGCAATCAATATTTTTTAAAGCCTGCTCTATTTCTTGATCATTCTGTAACATATTTGTAGAAAAGTGTTATATCTTTGCTAACTTAAATAAAACACAGAGTGATAAAAAAGGATGTATTGCTATTAAGATGTGGAAATCATAGTGGGATCCAGAATTACAACTGTGAATGAAAACTTTCCTTCTTTCTTTTCTCAATTTTTTTCTCTCTCCCTCCACCCTGTTCCTCTTCCTCCTCCTCCTCTTTGTCCTCTTCCTTCTCTTCTTCTTCTGTTCTTCTTTTTTTTTTTTTTCCTCTTCAAAGTACTGTTTTGAACCCAGGTTGTTAGTAGTAAGCTGAATTCCCAGAATTTTAAATTTTGTTGTCTTTTTGAGACAGGGCCTCATCGTTAAACTGCCCAGCCTGAGCAGTCGCCGGGCTATTGTTCCAGAGTGGAATCCTTTTCTGATATTTTAAATGTATTTTTATCTTAGCAGTTACTCAGCCATGCTGTTGGGTTAAATCCCTCTGTGAAGAAACATCAAAGACCACATAGATGGACACTCCCTGCGTGTGAGTGTTCTGGCTCTAGCACTAAAATCAGTAAAAGCACCAGGAGACAAACTTATAAAACCTTTTTCTTAAAGTTAACTGATTCACTAAGATTCAGGTTCTGTTAGTGTATCAGAAACGCCCCTCGAGGGCCGGCCAAGTATCTCAGCAGAGTAAAGTGTCTGCAAGCAGGCGCGGGGGCCGGGGGTTCGAGCCCCAGGCCTGCCATGCCGGCCCCGACCCCGAGCCATGCTGAGATGACAATTGAGACTGGGCGTGGTGGTGCAGGCCTGTAATCCCGGCTCTTGGAAGGCTGTGAACGGGCGGATCACTACGAGTCTGATCTACTAGTAAGACGCTGAACACCCTGTGGACCCTTCCCTAAAAAATACAGAAAGAGAGAAGAAATGTCCCTCATTCGGCACCTTTATTTCTGTCATTTTATCGCTTACCAGGGGATACGGCTCCTTGAGGTGCCCAGCGAGGCACACTTTCCAGGGCACAAGTACCTGAACGATCCCAGCGCCTTCACTGCGACTGTGAGGGGCTGAACGCTCCCCCACGGCCAAGAGCCCTGCACTGTGGCGCAGCGAGGGTCACACGGAACGCCTGCAGCTTTCGGTCACCTTCACTCTGCTTACTCTGGAACACCTTCAGACATCGGGACGTTCAGCTAGCTCTGCCTTCAAGGGCAGGGGGGATGGGGCCACAAAGTGCGACCTTCTGGGTGCACTACTGTCCGGCACAGACAGAGCTGGTTCACCATCGTGATCCAATGAAAGTATTTCAGAAGTGATTGGGCCAGACCTTTACCACAGCACTCAGGAGATTTCTGCAGGCAGAGTACCATGAATTTGAGATCAGCCTGGGACATATAGGACCTCAAAGCCAGCCAGAACTACATATTGAGACCCTGTCTCACCTGTACCCCACCAAAAGCAAGAAAGAAAAACTTTAATTGAAACAATCTTTTGTTGTTGTTGTTGTTGTTTTTGGAAACAATCCTTGTAATTAAGAAATTTCCGTTTCAAAAGAAGGTCTGCATATTCGCTCTCTGACCAGCAACTGATGATGCAGTTCATCTCTGATGCTGATTGGTTCTTCAACACTGCGCTTGTTTCAATGCAACATGAGACACAGGAATTCCTCAGTTCTTACCATTTGGGTGTAAGCAGACAGGAGAGACGTTTCTCACTAAGCGAGGCTCATCTGCTTCACTCTGACGCAGTCCTGTCTTGTCTCCAGGATGCAGCGCCTGTGGCTCCCCGGAGGCTCCTGCGTGGCAGCCCTGACAGTGACCCTGATGGTGCTGAGTCCTCCCCTGACTTCGACCAGGGACACGCGACGTGAGTGCGCAGCTTAGCTGGTGAGGTGCCGAGGCTGGAGATAGGGAGGAGCGAGCTGTCTCCTTTTTCCAGGCCGTCTTTCTTAAACATCTGTGACATTTTCTTTGGCGAGTTTCTATCTGCATCACACGGGTTCTTTTCCACCAGAAGGAGCCTGTGTGTCTCCTTCTGATGAGGCCTGTGTGCAAAGACCCTGCACGGAAGCCCTTTCTTTTAAAGTCTTCTCCTGGGGCCAGGGAGATGGCTCAGTGGAATAAGCGCTTCCCTGGCAAGCGCAAGGACCTGAGTTCAATCCCCGGTTCTGGAAAAAAATAAATAAATAAAATAAAGCCCTCTCCAGTAAAACTCCAGTCTCCAGTCACGTTTTCTCATGGCCTGAGAGAAGGTAGAAATGACAATGCGAAGCTAGTGACTTCAGAATATCGTACTTCTCTATATTGGGCTGCTTTATGTAGAAGAGGGAGGGATTTCTCTTTAAAAATAGAAGTTCAAATCTATAATTCTGTTCTGTTTTATGAACATCATTCTGTTTTCTTTTTTAGTAAAAAAGTCAAATTTTCAACTTGGTCAGGGGGCTGCTCCTGTAAGCGCGGGGATGCCCCGAGCCCCGACCCCCACAGTCTTCTCTGTGCGCTCTGCACTCCAGGGGCTGCGCCCGTCTCTGTGTTGGAAGCTTAAAATGAGGGCTGGGCTCAGTGCCCGTTCTTTCTCCTCTTTGTAACACCCTGCAGTGGCGTCAGAGGCTCTTTGTACTTGAAATGCCCCGTGCTCAGCATTCCCTGTGTTGAGCATCTGGAGCGCGTTTGGCCCCTTCGAGCACAGGTCTGGGCCCCTGTCATAGGTCAGTGTTCATTTTACTAGTATGTTTGGAAACTTCCAGTACTATCAGCTTCTCCTCACGACCTGCAGGCTCTGACTTAAGCCCTCAAAATTGGTCTGAACTGGCTTGAATGAAATGTATGGGAATATATATTTAAATAATCATCAAACTGTTAGCATCTTTTTGTGCTTCCAAGTCTATGCAATTGCAAGAGTACAGAGAGAATGTGAAGACGGATACCATTTTACGGACTTAGCGCCAAAGAGCAAGGAAAGGAAACTCGTTGGCCCAGTGGGGTCTCCACCCAAATTTCATAGGTTGTTTCCATTGTGCTTTCTCTTTTTCTTCACAAGGCATCGTGAGGTCCAGCCTCCTCCCCGTCCTTCCATTCCTTTCACCAGCGATGCCTTTGCCTTTCCTGAAAGTCTTTCATTTTCCCCCAGAGCTCATGCTCTATAAGAGATCCACTAAAGACAGTAAAATGTAACAAAAGTGTCCCTCTTGCTCTTCAGATGGCCTCTCTGTACACTTGTGAACACCTGTAATAAGACGAACTTGCAAAGAGGAAGTTTGTCACAGGAAGTGGGAAAGATGTGCTGCGTCATCAGAACAAAACGGGGGCGCGTGAGTCCCTTTCTCCTCTCTACATCTTTCCAGTGATAAATTTAACAGAATACTAGTTGTTTCCTTTAGGTCACAGATAATTTCCTGGTTAACGTTTATATTGTGGAGTTTGTTGTAGAATCAGAGGGTTTCATGTGACTAAGACATAAAAGGTCTCTACGCACAGGGCTCTCCCAGTGTCCAGGAAGAAAGACAGTCATGCAAGAAATATTTAAAAGCATAAAATTTCAGGAGCAGAATTTCTCTGTTGAAGAGATATTAGGGTGATGGACCCGAGAGAAAGAATTCACCAAACTTCATACTGTGTGTAAAGGACTCTCTCTGAGTAAGGGGCGTGTTGACAAGACTACAGTAAAGAGAATAAGCCAATCATAGGAGGACATACGACATGCATGTTTCCTGGCCACAAATACAGGGCAGGATGAAGTGCAGGAAGATCTGTGATGTGTGGGGACAGAAAGAACGCAAGTGGCTGAAGTGCAGGGAACGGGCAGTGAGGCTGGGGTTGCCGAAGGTGAGGGCAGTTGCAGAAAAGATCACCACATCATTAAGTGAGGCCATGACAGTCAGGGTAAGACATGGGACTCTGTCTAGATACGAAAATCTTCAGCACTGCAAGGAAAGCCAATGTATAATCAGTTTTATAAAATAATTGCAGCTTCTCTGTGGAGATTGGATTGTGATTTACTACAGGGCCAAAGAGAATATTTAGGAACATTAAATTGATAATATGTATGTAGTATATCTATTTTGTGATCAGGATTAGAAAGTCATTCCTATTACAATTATCAATAAATCTATGAGAAATATGCAATGATTAAGTCCAAATTACTATTTTTATATTTTAACCATAAGTTCTAGTTTAACTTTTACCATCAATGTGTGCTATGGTTTGTGCCTAGTTGTCCCCCAAAGCCTAATACAGTCATGGGGTGGAATCTAGAGTTTGTGATTAATTCATGATCCCGTGCTGGGATTATGAGTCTGAGTATTGCTCGGATTATGGTGTAAGTGCTCCTGGGATTATGGGTGTGAGTGTTACACCTGGCCTGGGGAGAACAGCCTGAATGCAGCACAAGGGAGACCGACTTGCTCTCTGTAGCTTTTCTGGCTGTTACTCCTCCCATTTGCTCTCTTGTTTTTTGCGACCACCATGAACAGCTGCCCTCTGCCACATGCCACTCTGCCATGGAGCAAGCTGAGTATGAACTGAAACTTCCACTTACTGTGAGCTAAACAAACCTTCTCTTCCCTGATTTTGAGTGTTGAGTATTTGTCCCAGCAACAAGAGAAGAGTAACTGAGAAAATATGAAAGTGAACTGTGTAAATAATTATACCAGCATATTTTAATTTTTTTTTAAATTTGTATGTGTGCTACAGCATCTCACTATGCAGCTCAGACTCATAGTGATCCTCCTGTTTCAGCCTCCCTAGCACTGAGAAGAAACCATAGAATCCTCCAGCTTTGCATCTTGGTGATAACCACCTTTTTGCCCACCAGATGATTCTGGCTTGCATTCCAAATCCTATCTAGTAAAGTCCTGGAAACAGCAGTTGGTTGAGCACCTGGCTCCAGGCCTTGAGGATACCTGGACTATTTCTTTATATATCTATATCTATATCTATATCTATATCTATATCTATATCTGTATCTGTATCTGTATCTGTATCTGTATCTGTATCTATATCTATATCTATATTGATATCAATATCTATATTGGACCTCCAGTCCTAGCTTTTTAAAGAATCTCCACACTGATTTCCGTAGTGATGTTACCAGTCTGCACTCCCACCAACAGTGGAGAAGGGCTCCTTCTCATCCACAGCCCCTCCAGCGTTTGTTACTAGATGACTTCTTGATGTTACCCATGCTTCTGGGGCAGGATGGAATCTGTGTTGTTTTGATTTGCATTTCTCAAATGACCAATGATGCTGAATTTTTTTAAGTGAAATTTAGATATAAGGATGAAAGTCCATTGGTGGTAGAAGTGGACATAATAGGAAAGCACAAGAGCGATTCAGCTTTCTTGTGATTCTCAAATCTTGGCTCTTAACTCCACCAGTGAATATTGGCCACATGGCATTAAAAATATTGGTAAAGTTTCTGATGTTTGTATGTACCTGTATATTTCTTAGCATTGGAAAAACCTAGAAGAAATTCTACTTTCAAATCATAAATTCATTTAGCATTTTTCTTTGAAAACTTCCACGTGACTCTATGCTCTGTGTGGCCTATCATGGGCGGGTGTGAAGCTTTGGAGCCATTCTACTTCCTTGGTTAGTGTTGCTAGGATACAGGATAGTTGATTAAACTGAAAATTTAAATGCAAAGAAGTGCTTTAAGTAAATGGCCTACGTTTTTGTTTCCCTGGTATAGCAACCCCAAATGGGACGTAGCTGTTGTTGGACAGCATGACCATGGATGAACAGCACTAAGCACAGGGGGAATAGGCAAGTGACATGGATTAGTGACTGCACAGTTTATTTCTTCTTGTTTGTCAAGGTATCTAGAGTATGTGTGATCAATAAGAGAGAACGTTTCTGATTTTGAATCCACCCCACTGCCATCATTTCTCTAGGGCAAGGGGAGTTTTGATTTAGGATCTTCTCCCTTTGTCTAAATTGTGTGTAGGAGGAGATAGCCAAGGCCAATAAATGGCTGCCTGTTGAAAGTCAGAGACAGGGAGCTGGAGCGCAGGTGGGTTATGACCAGTGAATAGGGATGAAACGGGCCACTGGAGGGTCACCATCCAGGGGAGTGATCTCAAGGGGATCACTCCTGATGGCCTGGTGACTGACTGACAGGGCAAAGAAGTCAGATAGATAACAAAGTTTCATGCTCTGAGTGCCTGATATGTGGCAATCGATATAGATTTCAGCTTGAATGTATATATGCACCAGCGTCATGTACTACATACGCGACAACGCAGCCACCACTCATTTGGAGTGTAGAAGGCAGACGCACCGGCCTTAGACACGAGTGCAGCCTGACACACAGGAGTCTGCTGAGGCAGGAGCCGGGAGCTCCGAGTCCTCCGGCGTGCGCTGGCGTCTTCGCTCTCACACTACGTAACTCTGCATTCATATACATACGAATGTATAATACATAATACATAGACACATAGTGTACAAAATACACATGCACATATAGATTCTACAGTGAAAAGAAAAGAAAATGGAAGAGCTGAAAAGTCCAACTATATCTTCACAAAGTAAAATTAGCAGAGCTCCCACACGGCTGATCTACTGACCAGATTTTGGGTTGGTTTGGGAGAACATAGGAAGATAATGTGTGATGGGGATTTAACCTATGTGAACTGGTTCTAGCCATTTCAAAAAGATAGAGGTATAAAATATAGGTGGCTAATAATATTGAGAGTTTCCAAGGAATTGAAATGACTGGAAAAAATAGACTAGCTTGAGGAACATTGAAATTGCTGTGATCTTTCACTAAGACTTCCGTGGTTTCCGTAACACAGACAGAAAACGTAGACATTTTTATTCAGCATGTTTTTTCATATAGGGTATGAAGTGATAAAATGTTAGCATACCATACCTAGATTTCCCAATTTTTAAAACCTGCTCAATTTGTCATGAAATACATGATTGTGGACAAGACATTCAAGCCCTCCATTCTGTAAGTGCTTTCACCGTAAGGATGATCACGTCAGCCTTCTTGAGGTGTCTGGGGGTTGGGTACTCGGCGTTCTGCAGCCTTAGGAGTTGTGCCCACCACGCGGTATAGCTTAGCTGTCATCACCTTGCACCTCGGTTATACGTGAAGTCCGCAGCCTCACCCCCTCTCTTCTCCTCTTACCTTCCTATTTATTAAAATCATCCTCTATCTTGTCATCAGTGATGTCTCAGATACAGCAGTGCCTCAATTCACTCAATTCTTTCCACTGTTCTTATGGTGGTCACAAACCTACTTGGATGAGAACTGACACAAATCCAGTGGTTAGGTTCAAGGCTGACCTCATGGGGACTTTCAATTCAGTTCTCATCGAACTTGGTTTGCAACCACGATCACAGAAACACTTGAGTTCATGAACCAATAGAAACTGCATTTCTGAATCTGTGGAGGAAATAAGGATTTGGGAATTACAAGAAATTCCACTTTCAAATCCCAAGTCCACTTAACATTTATTCTTTGAAAAGTTCCACAAGAACAGTGCCTTATGGAAATAAGGAGTTTTGGAATTGATTTTGGAATTAATACTGCATTTCCATTTTAAAGATAGAACATTTTCAATAGGATATAAGGTAGTAACTTGTAATTAAAAACTCTATTTCTACCAACCAAACTATGGATACCTACGTTTATGGTATAAAGAAAGAAATAGTATTCTAATAAATTTGCACAATAACAAAATAGTAAAAGAAGTGTTGGAATGAATATGGAATAAATCCTAGTGCATCGTGTCTTAATGGAGCTATTTGGCAGTAGCTGACATTAACCTAAACAGTGTCATGTTAACGCTAGATCGTGCGTGATACATTTCACTGTCAGAAGCCCTCAGGAACCTAACCAGGTAGGATCCATATTTTTCCCGCTCCCATGTTGAGCTGGGCACCGTGTGATTTCAGCGATTGACATTCATAGCAGATGAAGCTCCGCGTCATTATTTATCGTTACTCGCGATTTGTCAGCGCTCACTCTGGGACCCCTCCGGAGGCTACAGCGATCCCTGGCTGCACATTGTTCTAACCTACCGGTGAACCGATCCCTTCTTCTCACAAAACCACCTGTGAGAATCTTCCCCTGTGCGCTCGCAGTGTCCCTGCCTCCCTCCTTGCGGCGCTCAGCTGCACGTCTGACGGGCTGTGACAGCCAGTGCTCACTATCTTTCAACAGACTTATTTATATTTCATCTGACAAGCTTTTACTGTGCGTTGAAACTCATGTGATTGTACTCCAACTAGTGGCAGGACGGTTTGCTCAGTCTCTCTCCACTAGCTCATTTGTAAACACCAGCATGAGTCTGTAACAAACGTTTGTTAAGGTTGATTGATTAATGATTTGCCTTAGGATAACATCTAGCAACTGCTTTCTCAGAGAGCTATGGTTTCTCGGGCTTCTACAAATGGCAGTAGACAGCGAATTGGAAATCTCCACACGTCTGCTTTCCGGGGCGGGTTTCTTTGGTCCTGAGCGTTCACCACAGGTGTGTGCTGGGGAGAGCAAACCTCACTTCTCGCCAGTAATCGAGGGGCGTGCCTTGTGGGCCACTCCACCAGGACGAGGACATTTAGTTTCTCCCAGCCTAACTTGCTTGCAGGGAATTTAAGCCATACAGAATGGAATTGAGGTAGTCAGGAAATATATCGACTATTATCTACATTTTCTTTCGTGAAAAATTCACAAGTGAAGTTCACTTTTCCAGACATGCTCCAGCTTGGATTTTTGTTTTCAGTTGCTATTCCTTTCGTTTTCGCTTCATGGATTTTTGAGATGGTTCACACCAGTGATCTCCCCCAGGGGGAGCGGCACACCTGACTCCCCACCTCCTGACACTGGGCACTGGCGGGGACATTGGGGGACTGTCCCATCCAAAACATCAGGAGTCCTATTGATGCTCATTATGCTGTTTCTAAAACTTCTGGAGTCATTTGCTATGCAAGATTCTCCATTTTCAGTCCACTTCATCGTGCTTTAGTTCAGCTTTTTAATTAGAAAACAACAAAGAAGTTAATTTTGGCTGTTTTAGAAGCCTGCCCCTGTCCTCTTGAATCCATTCAGTCAATGCAAGTTTAAGATCTTCACCTTTTCTCTTCGAGCCTTTGCAACATTTCTTCACAGTTCTTGAGTTATAAATCGTCACTAACTGTTAATTCTGAAAAGCCTGTCTTTGTGCGTATCATAGGTGAGGTTGTCGCTGCCCTTTGGGTGTGGAGTAGTCTCTAAAAGTCCAGGTGGTGAAGGCCTTCTGCTTGGTAGAAACTTGAAGGCGGGCCTCCTGGAGGCTTTAGGCCCTGGAAGGGGAGCTCTCGGGGGGGCGGCGGGAGGCCAGGCTGTTCTCTTTCCTTCATGTCGCAGTCACGAGATGAACAGTATGCTCTCGGCGTGCCCCCGGCCATGCTACACGGCTCCGCAGGCACAAGAGCAAGCCTGCCTGGGGACCGAAACATCCCTGCCGTGAGCCGCAATCTGTCTTCTTTATAAGTCGGTTGTCTCAGTTTTGTGAGAGTGATAGAAAACTAACAAAATTGGCATAGACATGTTTCCATAATGTGCTCTATACATTTGCCATGATTCCATATTCTTTACTATTTATAATGCCATATGGTTGGCTATATTTGGTCCTGTTCACTAGGGCATTTTAAAATCTCCTTTTGACTTTTTCTCAATACAATTAAATATGGAGTCAAAAATAATAGACATGAAAAAAAAATAATAATAGACATGCAGGTGCCAATCACCATTTCTATGCACACACACACACACACACACACACACACACACACACACACACACACGAACTGCAAGGTCTAATACAAAAACACTTTGAACTTTCAAAATATTACAGTTAAAGACACATTGCTATTAGCTCCTCTCAAAATGCTCCCACTTACTTCAAACACATCCATCCTATTGTTTTTGACACTTTCTGAGCAGTCTGGACGTGACTTTTGTGTCTTCCGGTGCAGTCCCCAGTCCCTAATCAGTTCACCTCCTCGGCTCTCATGGCCGGTCTGACTTTGGGGAAGAGCCAGCAGTCCCATGGCGCCCGACCTACTGAGCGGCCCACACCCTCCCATTCCTTAGAATCCAAACTCCTGCCCTGAGCTACAAGGCTGGTTCCACACGACATAAGTAGGACTCGACTTTAATCCTCTCCACCTTGTTCCAGGACTCTGCTGTCTTCTGATATCTTGATGAAGTTGATGGATTTTTGATCTCTTTGCACATGGTATCATTTTTGCTTTTTCTCCAAACATTGGCCTGGACCACACTGTGCTCAGGTTCATTGGAATTTGACTTTCCTGGCCCATCCCACAGTAATTCCAGAGTTCTCCCAGGCACCCTGCTGTCCTTGCCATCTCCTTGCTCTTCTCTGTGAAAATACACTTCTGCCACCCCCCATCCTGCGTAATTCCCCCGTTTGCCCAGTGTCCCTCCTGCTCCCTTCACAGTGTAAGCTCCCAGCTGTCTGCTTCTCTGCCCTGGTCTGCAGGGGCAGCACAGGCCTGGCGGGGTCAGCAGGAAGGAGCCTCTGCAGCCTGGAGGAGGGGGTCCCCAGCAGGCCAGAGTGAAGCTCTCTGGGGGGGGCAGGGAATGACATGGGTGGAGTCTCGGAGCAGCAGGAGGTGGGGGCAGGGTTGAGGGGGAATCAAGTCCAGCCCCAGAGCAAGGGAAGGGCCAGCAGGGAGGGACAGTATTGTTTTTTTTTATTTTTGAACCAGAATTGAGCTCAGGCCCTTGCGCTTGCCAGGCAAGTGCTTATTCTACTGAGCTCTCTCCCTGGCCCTGAGGGATAGTACTGGGGATGGGAAGAGAACAGCAGTACCCCAGCCCCCGTGGTTTCCTGCCCAGGGAAGGTGAAGGGTGAAGCCCTGGGCGCTGGTATTTGAGTGGCAGCAGTGTCCTCCCCTGAGGACACTAGTGAGCAGGTCACTCCTGTCCCACAGCGCATTTCTTGGAGTACATTAAATGGGAGTGTCACTTCTCCAATGGGACTGAGCATGTTCGGATGGTGGTCAGACACATCTACAACCAGGAGGAGTTCCTGCGCTATGACAGTGACCTGGGCAAGTTCCTGGCAGTGACTGAGCTAGGACAGCCGGAAGCCGAAGACTGGAACACCAAGAAGGACCTCCTGGAGCAGAGGCACTCCCAGCTGGACACCTTGTGCAGACACAACTACTGGGTTGGGGAGAGATTCACTGTACATCGGAGAGGTGAGTGGGGGGCCTGGACAGCCAGGGAGAAGGAGGGAGGGAGGGAGGGAAGGAGGGGAAAGGGGGAGAGAAGGAGGAAGGGAGGGAGGGAGGGGGATGGGGAGAGGAGGGGGAGAGAGAGAGGAAGGGGAAGAGAAACAGCAGAGGGAGGGAGAGGAGGGGGGGGAAGGAGGGGAAAGGGAGAGAGACAGAGGAAGGAAGGGGGGAGAAAACTGGGGGGAGGATAGGGAGGTGAGAGGGGAAGGGGGAAGAGAGAGGAGACAGAGAGGGAGAGAGAGAGGGAGTGAGAGGGAGGAAAAGGGAGAGAGAGAGAGAGAGAGAGAGAGAGAGAGAGAGAGAGAGAGAGAGATTTCTTGTTTTGAATGTGTAGAATTATTAGCCAACCAAAGTTGTGAGGGACCATGTGAGAACGGATGGTCTTTGAGGAAGAGTACTATTTTGAGTGTGTCATTTTAAAAGAGACAGAGACAGACAGAGCACTGTGTGTGTTTCCTGTCCCTGAGGTTGACCCTAAACAGAGCAGGGGCAGGGCTGTGGGCACAGAAGGGGCTGGGGGAGGAGGGTTCTGGGAGTGGAGAAGGGGAGGGACTGTGCCCAGGCTGATGGGGAACGGAGCAGGGTTGGGGAAAGGCTGAGACTCAGAGCAGGGCACAGGAAACGTGGGCATCTTGGCTGTGCTGGGGGTGCAGGAGGACGGGGTCACGGCTGGAGGCCCAGGGGAGCCTGCTTCCACACTGCCTTTGGCTTGCAGCCTTCTTCCCGGTGAAGCCCAGGAGACACAAGTGCGAGGTGTGTGCACCACATTGCAGGGAGCAGAGGTGTCAGAGTAAGGTGGTGGGAGGACAGGGACAGGCACCCAGGGCCTTTTCTCAGGCTTCCTTTAGGCCTCAGTCTCCTGCTGTTCATGCCTGATTGGTTTGCCTGCCTGGTGCACACTCCTTCAGGTCCTGGGATCAAAGGCCTTTGATCCCAGTTGTGTTACTTAGCATGCTGATGTTGCTGCTTGTATAATCTAATACAATTGAGTTAGTTGTGTATTATGCCTTTCTCTGCTTGTAACCCAACCTGTGTCCCACTTGGTGAGTTTCCTTAAAATACTGATACGTTGAGTTCTTAGTATGTGGGAAGTTGTTTACTTAAACATAAAAATCTAAAAATGACTCCAGTCTGCTGTGTAAAATGGTGTGACATTTGCGTACAATTGATGCATGTGTTTCAGATCCTGTCTAGATTACTTCCAGGGCCATCACTGTACAGATACTATCTCTATAGCTGTTACATTGCTTAGGAGAATGTGACAAGAAAAGAGTGACTAGGGCAGTACTGAACTGGGGTTTTCCGTGCTCCACATGAGGGTGGATTTCCAACGGGAGCCCTCAGAGGCAGAGATCCACAGGTGCGCTACAACATTATGCTTCTCATTTCTAACTTCCCTTTTTCTAATTATAAGACTTTTGGGGCTGGCCAGATAGTTCAGCAGACTAAAGTAGTGAGACCCTGTAGACCCTGTACTAAATACATTAAAAATAGTAGACCCTTTTTGCACACTTATTAGCAAGTAAGATTACTAAAATTTATTTCACTTTTCTCTTAGATCCCAGTTTTCAAAGTGATTTTATGGATTCTTGATCCAGAAATGTTCCTGTTCACTTGCTATTTTATTCAGCATGTTTTCCACTTTCTGTTTATAATTCATTTTTTTGTTTAAAACTGTTCATGTTAAGAATTTAAACATTTTGGTTAGTAGAATATAGTGCCATGTTGCTGGTAATGATTACTTGCAGTGTGAGAGCTGTCATTTTCTGGTACCGTGAAAAGCTGTCCTTTGGAACGATGCCTCGAGTGAGGTGGGCGTCCTGAAGGGCTGTGTGCAGCAGGCACGGGGCACACGTGTGAGTAAGCTCCAGCAACTGTGTGGTCCACAAAGGTCAGTTCAGAAAATGAGACAGATTCGGCCTGGGGCTGCAGCCCAGCGGCATAAGCACCTGCCTGGCAAGAGCAAGGCCCAAATTTGATACCAGCTACTGAAAAAGAAAAAAAGACAGATACAACCTAGTAAAAGGGAAAGTGAGTTTAGTAAGGAAGTGGGTTCTTCTGGTGAGAGCAAGAGGGATCTTTCTCAAGGACTGATGCCCTCAACGCTTCCCTTCGGCTCAGGATTCCTGAATTATCAAGGACTCAGCTGTCTGCCTTAGAGGGCCACAGCTCTGTCCCTGCTCCCCAGGGTGCAGCCCTTCCTGGCCCCACAAGTGTGCGCTGTGGAGAGAGTGTTCCCAGGACTGCATGCTCCACCCCCCTCCTAGTCCCCTGCTCCTCCCCGCTTTCCATGGGGCTGCTACTCCGATTCGCACAGGGGAATAATAGACAGTGAAAACACATTGATGACACAGTGCTAGTTCATGCTTCACGTATTTCAGTTGCTTTAATGCTAACCTAACTCTACATGGTGAATTAGTAGTCTTACCCCAATATAGGTGAGAAAGTTGGGACACGAAGGAATGTAAACTGCTCTTTCAGGTTTAGCCAGGCAGAGGGGGGAGCCGAAGTGTGAACCTAGGCCATTCGATTCCCGAGATCACACTCTTAGCTAACACTCCATATGCTGTGGAAAGACTTGAAAACGTCATTGACTGGTGAAAGATCACGTCATGCCATGAAGAATGTGATATTTTTCCAACATTCTTATCTCTGTGCTCTTCTTACAAGGATTAACTTTCAGGCTCCTGACAGGCTCCTGGGAGGCCCAGGCAGATGTGAGCAGGCACACAAGGATGCGGGTCTGTTACTGGAGGGGTGCCGAGAGGCAGCCAGCCAAGAGCTGCTCGGCCTTCCTGACTGGCTTTCTCCCTCCCCCACCAGTTGAGCCCAAGGTGACCGTGTATCCCACAAAGACCCAGCCCCTGCCCCACCACAACCTCCTGGTCTGCTCAGTGAGTGGCTTCTACCCAGGCAGCATCCAAGTCAGATGGCTCCGGGATGGCCAGGAGGAGGAGGCTGGGGTGGTGTCCACAGGCCTGATCCAGAACGGAGACTGGACCTTCCAGACCCTGGTCATGCTGGAAGCTGTTCCTCAGAGCAGAGAGGTCTATGCCTGCCAGGTGGAGCACCCGAGCTGGAGCAGCCCTCTCACCGTGGAGTGGAGTGAGTGGGGAACCCCTGACCTCGCAAGGTCCCCTCTTGCTCCCAAGGAGGCTTCCCTTATCGCTGGGTGTCAGGTTTCTCCTTTCTCCTCTATTTTCTTATCTCCTTCAGGACACATGATAGAGGGAGCACTAGGAGAGCTTTACCACCCCTCTACCCCTTCGGCACCCAGTTATGCCTGTCATGCAAAAGAGAGTGTCTCTCCCTGTTCTGTACTTCCTCGTGCTATCCCTGGTCGTAGCCACCCGTTGGCCCAATTTCCAGGCCCTGTCTCTGTGCTGGCTCTGTGTTTTGGGGTCACTGCTCTGTGCTGTTCCTTGTGGTCTGGGAGGAGGAGCTCTGCAGGGTCCTCCTGACAGGAGGAGCATCCACCCTCAGCTCTGCCTCATGAGCTCTTCCGTCCTAGACAGCTACTCAGCCTCACTAGGCTCCAGGCATGCATCTGGGAATATTCAGGACTGGGAGATATCAGTGAATTCTGTGTATGAGCTCCACATTGACTTAATGTGACTTTTTAGATCTTTCCTCCCAAGAATGGTTAATTCTAGGCTTTTGAATCTTTCTTCTTAAAATTCTAAAATCAGGATCTCAGGGAGAGAACTTGGAATAAGGATTTAAAAAAGAGTCCCTAAACTTGGAGTCTTCCCTCAGGGGCCCAGTCTAGATCTTCGCAGAGCAAGACGCTGAGTGGAGTCGGAGGCTTCGTGCTGGGTCTGCTCTTCCTTGGGTCGGGACTGTTCATCTACTCCAGGAACCAGAAAGGTGAGAGGCCTCCTCACAGCTAAGATGCACCCTATGCTTTTCTGGGAAAGAAGGACTGTTTTCCTATGGTATTTCTTGGCATTTTTCTGTCCTTCTTAGAAACTTTTCTTCCCTCAGGTTACCTCCAATTTGCTGAGCATTCAGAAATCAATTCTTTATGGGTCCTTTGTTGAAACCCAGGTGCTGTGGGCTGCCGAGAGCAGGGCAGGGTGAGCAGCCCAGAGTTGCTGGTCGGAGGGCAGCGGGTGCAGAAGAGCCCGCGACAGGGGACTCGCCGGGCAGAGGCTTGCAGTCCCATTCTCTCCATCCCTGACCTGGTTGGCGGGGGCTGTGGTGCCAGAGAAATCTCAGGTGGTAGATCTGAAAATGGGGATGCTGTCTAAGAACAGACTGGCCTTGGTTTTTTTCTTTTTTTTTTCTTTTTTTTTTTTTTTTGGTTTGATTTTGCTTTGTAGTCTAAGACGTAGTGAGATGAAATTGAATATGTGAAATTAAATGTGCTGAAGTTTTCAACTCTCAGCCCTGAGGGACCTGTTGGCCCCTTATGCTGTGCTTTTTCTTTCAGTTAAGCTTTTGGTACATCTTAAAGACAAGATCACTTTCACTGTAGGGACTTTGTACCTCGACATAACTGACCTTGGTTTTCCTCCTCCTTCCCCATTGCCTAGCCCTCCCTCCAAGTCTCTTCCCCTCCTCGTTTACCAAAATGCTTTCTTTCCACTGTCCGCCGCCTCTTTTCTTTCCCTTTCTCCCTTTCCCATCCCCTGTCCTAGTCCCCTATCCCAGGGGAGCATTTCTTCCTTTTCCATAGTGTCACAAAGACACTAGACGATTAAGCCTCTGTTTCTCTTCTCCTTTCCAGAATACTCGGGAGTTCAGCCAACAGGTAATGTCCTCAAATCTTCTCTCACAGATTTTCCCTTCCTACAAGGGACTGTAGTGGGGTGAGACATGACACAGATACTGTGAAAGAGTCTTGGGTGCAGCCTTCTGGTCAGACAGCTGCGCTCAGCGTTGCTCCCCTTACGAAGCGCTGTGCCCTGAAGGAATATTGCCTCGGAGAGCTCAGGAGTGGTTTCTTCCCTTGCTGCAATGCTATCCTGAGAGGACCTCGGAGGAAAGAAGCTGCATTCAGAGCAAGGTCTGGAAACTCCACTGTCCCTGTCCCTGCAGGCCTCCTGAGCTGAAGAGATGGTGGCAGCCCTGAAGGAAGCACCTGTGTCCCTGCTGCTCGAAGTCATCGCCGCGCCATGAAAGACTTCCTACTTGGCTCTCGGTGTCCCACAGGGAGGGGCTCTCCTAGCAACCAGGACCTTACAGGGCACGTCCTCCCTAGAGCTGTGACACACTATCCTTCAGCCATGGGAACTGGGCCTGATTCCATGGGAAGAGAAGGCGCAACGTCAAAATATCTCTTTTGAAAGAAGAAATGATTAAAAGAGAATGAATCAGGGATAAGGAGATGAGAGTTTCTGACCCCATTATTCAGTTAGTATTTGTAGTTGATTTCCTCATCCAGGCCACTAGATCCCTAAAAAGAATTGTGAATGGCTTTGTGTCTTTTTCAAAAGACAGTCTGAGTAGTCAGCACCAGCCACTAGCTCAATATGGGAAACAAGAACAGTGACAAAGCGTTGCTTTGTGTTTAGAAGTAAATATGCGGGTATATGATTTTACAAAGAAAATACTATTTTCCAAGAAATTTTTAAAGGTGCATTACAACAAAAATCTAACTTTATAACATGCTATAACATATAGCATATTTATTTTTTTTTATTTTTCTTTCTTCAAAGTTTTATTGATAAACATATAGCAATGAGACAGTTTCAATTCAAATCGAAAGTACAGTTTCAACAAATAATACACTGCATATATTCTTCTT